TCCTCGACGCCGGAGCCAGCATCTACGTGTGGAAAGGCGACGAGTGCAGCCCGTTCGAAGCGCAGATGGCAAACATGGCGGCCGAGGCGCTCGAGAGCACGCGACACGGCGGCTCGGCCGTGACGCACGAGATCGACGACGGATTCTGGGCAGCCTTGGGCGGAGAGGGCGCCATCGTGCTGCCAGAGCCAGTGGAGGTTGGCGAGGGCGTGCTGTTCCAGCTCTCGGACGCGGACGGCTCGCTGGGGATGAGCGAGGTCGGCCGCGGCGACCTCACCCTCGGCATGCTCGACACGAGCGACCGGTCTTCCTGTGCGATACGGCCCGGCTCTGCTAATCTGGATCGGAGGCGACGCCTCGCCAAAGGAGTCGGCCGCCGCGATGGACACAGCCACAAAGTACTTGAAGCAGATGCAGAAGCCGCTCACTATGTGGTCTACTTTTCCATGTTTTGGGATGCCGTGGTCGTGTGGGGGTCACTCACGACCCGCACGAGGTAGGCGGCGCGCAGCGCCGCTCTCGCAGGCTGTTTTTGACGGTTCCACATTTTATTTTTGTTTTCAGTCTAGGGGGGGCCGACACCCTCAGAGGGGCGGGCGGGCGCCCAGTACCGTATACTGTAGTAATACTGACACACCCCCAGCCGAGTCCCGAGAGAGCGATCAAAAACGCGCTCGGCCTGGGGGGGGTTAGTCTTCCGTCTTCGCGACCCGACGGGGGGCGCTCGAGCGGCCACGAAAAGAAACTCAGCGAAATCCGTATGCCGCGTGCGCGCGCACATGCGACGTAGTACAGTGAGCAAGATATGTGGGTTGTTGCACGAGTATATGGGCCACGATGTCTCAAATATGAGGGGTTTTGACTCCTACCGGCTCCTGACGCTATCCCTGGCAGCTCTGATGACCAGGATCAGTAGTGTTGTGATGGAGGGTGCCCATACTAGCGCAGGAGCTGCCACACTCGCCCGGACCGTCCCCTTATGGGGCCGGTTCCGCAGCCCGCGAGAGCCGACAGCGGGGCCGTGCCGCGGGTGCCTACTGCCGAGTGCCACAAACACTGCGCCGTCCCGCCATCACCTACAGGCTGTCTTGTGTGATGGCTGGGATGTCCAAACGCCACCATCTTGGCTCTTGCGACCTCAAACCCGCGAGCTGTATGGGTGGTCCTGACGTCGACAGACGCCCGATGACCACGGTGAAGCTGAGATGGAACGAGTCGACAAGTCTCGTCTGAGCCCGTGGCGGTCGCCGGCTGAGTCGCCGTGCACGGGCCGGTACCTCAGGCGTCACCTCCGCAGCCTCAGGTCTCACACTCCATCACCTCCGCCGGGACGCCGTCGGTGGCACGCTCGGCGGCGAGTTTGTTGCAGCCCCACAGCGAGCACGGCGTCGAGCCTACTCGGTCTGGTCGGTCGGCCGCACTCCCTGGGTGCCAGGGAGTGCGGCCGACACGCGAGCGGTGCTTCCTGGCGGCGCGCGCCGGCTGTGGGGCTGCAACAAACTCGAGACACGCTTTTTTGGGACATTTTCGACGCTTTTGGCCCATATACTCGTGCAACAACCCATGTGTGGGTGCATGTGCTACAACGTCACGCGAGTTCTTTTAGGCGGTGCCGTCAACTCGAGTAGCATCATCCGCGGGAGTGACTCCTCCGCGCAGTAAAAGGTGAGCTGCGCCTCGCACACCCGACGCAGCCGCTCGCTCCGGTCGCACACCTCGAGGCCGGCCGCCGCAAGCGCCTCCGCGAGCGCCGCGAACGTCTCCTCGCTCCGCCGCTCCACCACCAGCCACGCGCGCGGCGGGCGGGCGGGCGCCGGCGCTGCGGCGGTCGAGACTCTCAGCACCGCGCCAATCGTGTCGCAGAGGTGTCGGAGCAGGAGCGGGTCGTACGCCACGTCGCTGGCGATGACGAGGTCGACGCGCCGCTCACCGCCTGCGCCCGCCGGTGGTTGCGAGGGGAGAGCAGCCTCGCAGGCGCGCCACTCGTTGTCGCGCCAGTCGAGCGCCTCGACAGAGACGCGGCCGGAGAGGCGCGGCGCGAGGGCGGCGGCGCTCGAGGAGAGGCGGCGGAGCGCGTCGGGCACGAGGTCGGTCAGGGTGACGCGCTCCGCCTCGGCGCAGCAGGCGAGAGCGAGGCCGCACAGGCCCGGACCTGCGCCCAGCTCGAGCACTCTCGCAGCGGTCAGCTGCGCGGCGTGGGCGTGGAGCCAGGCGGCCAGCGCGGGCGCCGCTGGCCACAGTCGGCCGCTGGTCTCGACGCCGCCGCCAAAGGCGTCGCTCGTCTCGAGGAACAGCCGCGAGCCGCTTATCTCAAAGGTGACCCCCGACGGAGGGGGAGGCTCCGGCCCGCCCGCCGAGTCGGCGGCGAGGTACTCCACCACCAGCCCCTCGTCGATCTCGTGCCCGTCGAGAGAGCGCAGCAGCGCCCGCAGCACGCGACGCCGGTAGCTCCGGCACAGGCGCTGCGCTGGCTCGGCGACCACCATCATGGCAAGAGCGCGCTGCCCCGCCTCAGTCTCGTGCCCGGCGCACGCACGCACCACGGCGTCCACCGGAGCGGCCTGCAGGAAGAGCGTGCGGGCCCTGTCGAGATTGACGGAGCAGGACGCCATGGTCAGCTTTACCGCGGACCGCGTGTGGGGAGCGCGCGCTAGCGGGAACTTTCTTTTTTATTTTTATTTTTTACGTTTTCCCCCCCCCCCCCCCCCGTTCCCGCGCTCGTGTCATTCCTTGTTGCGGTGTGGGCAAAGGGGCGAGCCACAGGGGAAAAGAGGGGGCACGGAAATTCGGAACGCGCTGTCCGACCTCCTTCTCGGCCCCGCCCGCCCCTCCTCGTGCTGCGGGCGGCCCCTCTGCCGGCATACGTCCATGGACCTGGGCGCCCTCTTCGGTGGCAGCAGCGCACCCGCCCGGCTGCTGATCGAGCGGGACCAGTTCGTGCTCGACGGGCAGAACTTCACCGTGCGGGCTGGCTGCGTCCACTACTTCCGCGTGCATCCCGACCTGTGGGAGGACCGGCTGGCGCGGATAGCGGCGCTCGGTCTGAACGCGGTGCAAACCTACGTGCCGTGGAACTACCACCAGGCGTGGAACGCCAGCAGCCTCGGGCCCGCCCGGGTCGACCTCGACTCGCCCTCTCGCGACCTGCCTCGCTTCCTGCGGCTGGCGCACGGGCTCGGGCTGCGCGTGGTGCTGCGGCCGGGCCCGTACGTGTGCGGCGAGTTTGAGTTTGGCGGGCTGCCGGCCTGGCTCCTCCGCGACGGCCCCATCGAGCTGCGGACCGACGCAGAGCCGTACATGGGTCACGTCGAGCGCTGGTGGGGCGAGCTGCTGCCGCGGCTGCGGCGAGAGGGGCTGATGCTCGACGACGGAGGGCCAGTCATGCTCGTGCAGATCGAGAACGAGTGCGCCGCCAGCCTCCGCCCGCGTGTATTAGTCGCTGCCGGAGAAACCGCCCGGCATCAAAGCGGAGAGAGAGAGCAGAGAGAGAGCAGAGAGAGCAGACGCGGAGAGGAGCAGAGGGGAGCAGAGAGAGCCCTCCGCATATGCTACTTTCACACTGGTGTGAATACGTCCCGAACCCATACTTGGGACCCATAGCATATGCCAAGCCGCTCCACACCTCTCCCGCCGCCGCCCTGAGGTACGGCCACTTTGGCGACGTGTCCGAGGTCGAGGCAGACCGCCGCTACCTCGAGCGCCTCGCCGACCTCGCGCGACGCCACCTCGGCACTCCACCGCCTCGCCTGCCCCGCTCTCCAGCCGCGCCGCGCACACGTCTCCGCGACACGTCCATGGCATGTCCCGCAGGCGACGGCGCGCAGCTCTTCACGTCGGACCCGGACGACCTCGCAAAGCTCACGCGCGGCACCCTCTCGCCCTCCGCCTCTCGCCTCGGCTCCGAGGAGCGCCGCCCCCCCACCTCACGCTCTGAGAGGAGGAGAGGGCCTCACGCTCTCCCGCCGCCGAGCCGTCGCCGCTCGTCGCAGGTGCTCACGACGGTGGACTCGTGCGACGTGCCCGAGGACGCGTGGGCCGCGCAGCGCAGCTTCAACCCGCCCGGCCGCTCCCCCTTCTTCTGCTCCGAGCTCTGGGTCGGCTGGTTCGCGCACTGGGGCGAGCCCGCGCGGCCAAACCTGGCGGCACAGCGCGCGCGGGACGTCGCCGAGAGGCTGCGGCGCGTGCTGGCGGTCAACGGCGGCACCGGCTCGGTCTCGCTCTACATGGCGCATGGTGGCACTTCGTTTGGCTGGTGGGCCGGCGCAAACACCGCCGACGGCATGTACTTGCCCGACACGCCGTCGTACGACTACGGCGCGCCGATCGGCGAGGGCGGCGGGCACGGGCTCGACGAGGCGGGAGGAGACAAGTACGCGGCCCTGCAGAGCGTGCTGCTCGAGGCGCCGTCGGGCAGCGGGTCTAGCGTACCCTCGTCCTCGCCGTCCGCCTCTCGCCCCCCCTCCCCTCCCGCGGAGCCGCAGCCGCTGCGGGAGGAGCCGCCGCCGCCGCGCCGCCTCTCTTCCACGGTCGAGGTTGAGCTGCCCGAGGCGGTGAGGCTGATGGAGGCGGAGACGCTGGCCGCGCTCTCGGGCGGGGGGCGCTGCTGCGACGAGCTGCCTCTGCCGATGGAGGAGGTCGGGTGCGACTACGGCATCGTTGTGTACGAGACAGAGCTTCCCGCGGGCGGCGGAGGGCCGCTGCAGGTCTCGCGGCTGCGGGACCGGCTGCTCGCCTTTGTGGACGGCGAGTTCGTCGGCCGGATGTACCGGCAGCAGGGGTGGGGGCGCGCCGACCCAAAGGGGCTGCTGATGCCGCCGCCGCGGCCGTACCCGCGCACGCTGCGGCTGCTCGTCGAGAACTTGGGCCGCGTCGGCTTTGTCGACCTGCCTTGGTTCTCGCGCACCTTTCTGCTCGACCAGCGAAAGGGCATCTTGGGCGGCGTGTGGCTGAACGGCACTCTGCTCAATCGCACCGGCCCCGACGGGCAGGCAGGCTGGCGCACCCACTGCCTGCCCTTTGACGACGCCCAGCTCGACGTGCTGCGCCGGCTGCCGGCGCGGCAACCGTCCGGCCTGCTCGACACCGCGGGCAGCGTGGCGCTCGGCGCGGGCAGCGTGGCGCTGGACGCGGGCAGCGTCGCTGTTAGCGTGGCTGGAGCGATGCTGCACCTGGCGCAGGGCAGCGATCGGGACTCGCCCCCGTCGCTGCCGTCGTCGCTGCCGTCGTCGCAACCGCGCAGCGCCGCGACCGCCACTTTTTACCGCGGCGCGTTCGAGCTGCCCTCCGCTGATGCTGGCGCCGACGCCTGGCTCGCCCTCGGCGGCGGCTGGGCGCATGGCACGGCGTGGGTCAACGGCTGGCACCTCGGTCGCTATTGGCTGCCAGAGGGCCCACAACGCTCGCTCTATGTGCCCGGGCCGTTGCTGCGCGAGGGTGGCAACGAGTTGCTGCTGCTGTCCCTCGACGTGGCGGAGGCGGAGGCGGACGGACAGCCGCGTTGGGCGCGCCTCTACCCCTCTCCCAACCACACGGGCGCACGCTCAGCTCCGCAAGAGACGGCCGCCGCCTCCTCGCGCCAGCTGCAAATCTACTCGTACGCCGCCGCGTACAGCGCCACCAAGCTCACCTCCGCCAATGCACGCCACGCTGTCGTCGACGCCTTCTCTCACCTCGAGGGCCTCTTGTCGCTCGGATCCAAGATCATCCGGCTGCGGGCCCCGGCGGAGCCCGCCGCCCAGCGCCCGTCCGCAGCACCAATCGTCGCTGCGATCGCCGCAGCGGGCGCTCTCCTCGCGCTCGTGGCCGCCGCGTATGTATTTCGTGCCGGCCGCTTGCGGCGGCCGTGGCGGCGGAGAGATCGCGCCTTGGCCCGTCGTTTTTTTCTTGTGTGAGGGTCACACCGCACGATATCTTTGACTTTGTTCGCACTTCGCCCTCACAAAAGTTCATACCTTACCATACCTTATCTTACAATGAGAGACAGTACAATGAACAGCAAACATGTGAGCGAAAAATGTGTCGCGAGCGTAAGACTAAGAGAGACTCCTGACCTCCACACCTATCACCTTACACCCTGAGCCAAGAAGCCAAGAGCTCATCGAGCGGGTGACCCGGCCGCTTTGACCACGGCAAGCGGCTGCTGTCGCTCGACCCGCCTCCCGGCTCCTCCCCTACAGTGCTGGCGGGCCGCTTCTGGCGGCAACAGTACCAAACGAGGAGCCCGATGGTGCACAAGCCCACCAGGCCTCCGACGACGCATCCAACGATGAGGCCAACGTCCGCCCCTGCCCCGTCGCTGTTTTTTGGAGGTGCTGAGGGCGGCGTCACAATCATCGAGCTGATCGTTGGGGCCTTGACATCGACCTTGCGACCCAGAGCTATGGATAGTGCGTCCATGAACTTTTGAGATCTGATTGCATCAACTACCTCTTCCGCCGATGCCTCGTCCGACTCGACGATGACCACCGACCACTCGTCGATGTCAGTCTCCACCAGAGTGTCGACTTGCTGGGCTGTGATGTCGACACCGACAGAGGCGAGGCTCGAGACGATGGCATCTCGTACCACGCCCACCTCGAAAGAGGCCAGGCTTCGCAGTCGCCGAATTTCGTCGCCGACGTCGAAGGACCACGACACTATCCACAGCGTTTGTGTGCCGGGCACCAGAGGAGGCAACAGCGGCTGCGGCGCCATACCTGGAGAGTACGGCGGTTGTGGCGGGGGCGCAGGTGTAGCACCGGGTTGATACGGCGGCGATGAGGGCGGCGGCGGTAGGGGTGGCGACGAGGGTGGCGACGAGGGCGGAGGCGTTGGCGTGGCGCCAGGCGGTAAGGGCGGAGGCGCCGGAGTCTTACCGGGAGGATAGGGTGGCGGCGGTGGGGGATGTGTGGGCGCCTTACCGGGCGGATGAGGTGGCGATGAGGGCAGTGGCCGTGGTGTAGCGCCAGGTGGGAATAGTGGCGGCAGGGGCACCATACTAGGCGGGTATGGCGGCGGCGGCGGCGGCGGCGGCGGCGGTGGCGCCTTACCAGGCGGGAAGGGCGGCAATGAGGGCGGAGGAAGGGGCGTGGCGCCAGGCGGGAAAGGCGGCTGGAAGGGCGCCATGTCGGGCGGATACGGAGGCAGCGTTGGACGCGGTGGCTCTCGGGGTGGCGGCCCAAGTGGCGGGGATGACGAGGGTGGCGGCGTCAGTGGAGGCGGCGGCGCCATCGGTGGTAGCCCAGATGGAGGTGGCGGCGAAGGAGATGCAGGTGGTGGTAGCGTGGGCGGTGACAGAGGCGACGGTGGCGGCGGCGCCCGTGGGGGCGACGGTGCTACGATGATCGGTCCGATGGTGGGGAGTGTGACGGGAGTAATGCCAAGTCCCAAAGCATCCGCCATCGCGCTCAGAAATGCCTCGGACTCTACCGCTTCCGCAATTGCCTCCGCCGATGCCTCGTCCGACTCGACGATGGCTACTGACCACTCGTCGAGTGCAGTCTCCACCAAAGTGTACACTTGCTCGGCCGTGATGCTGACATTAGCGGAGGTGAGACTCGAGATGATGGCACTTTGAACTGTGTCGCGCGAGGCTGAGGTTGGCATCAGCATCAAGGGTGAGGGCGGGGTCGGGGGCGAAGGTGGTGTTGCGTCGGGGCGAAACCTGCGTCGGGGCGAAACCTGCGTCGGCGAAGGTGGTGTTGCGGTGGTCAGTGCGGGTCCGACTGCAAGGCTTTCGCAGTCATCTTCGAAGCGGAGGGACGAGCCATAGCCGGCAATACCCGCGTAATGGCAGTCGCCTATCTGAACCTGCTGTTGTACAGGTCGGAGGAAAATTCCAACGTTGTCGTCGCACGTGCCGCCACTGTAAGTTGTCAGCAGCAGCTGGCCACCCTGGCATGAAACCTTTGACCGAATCGTAGTACCTCTAAAGCTGAACGATGCGATGCACTCTCCCACGCTGTGGCTGCTTTGAGGGTCGCCGGTGCAGTTATTGGTGGAGTACAAATGGACGCCTCTATGCGGCGGCGGCAAGTTGCGGCGCCGTTTTGCCGTCATTATTCACCATAGGAAAATATCGCGCGTGCGACACATACCCGTCGTCGCCCTAGCCCTTGTTGCTGGACTCAGGGTTTGCCCACCTCAAAGCCGGAACACTGAGGCGGCAGCGCGATCAAGTCTCCCGCGAGCTTGCTTGCTCGTTTGCGCTGAGAAGATAGACACTGGGTGACAAGGTCGAGAGCGTCAGACTGCGAGGCACTCATCGATGCCCTCATCAACATGCTAATTGACGAGGCCGACTTCCTCAAGACACCAAGCGAACGGCTCCGCGAGCTCGAGTCAAAACGCGCCGTCGTCAAGGCCGAACTCGGCCTGCTCCGCCTCGCCGCCTTCAGAGTCCGGCGGTGAGAAAGACCGTGTTTGCTGTTTGCACCCTGTTTGCTGGCGCGCTCTTCGCGCCAGCGGCTCGCCGCCCGGTGGTCGCCCTTGTGCCTGTTGCCTTGAATTAGGGGTGGAGCGAGCCCTATGTTGCTGAAACTCCGGGTATACAATGTCAAAAGCACCAAAAGCCGTAGACGGGAGAGTAATCGTCTCACTCACGACCACGAGCCCATGGAGCCCCCCCCCCCCTGCTCCCTGTGAGCCGTAGGCACATCAACACTTGGGACGGCGGGAAGCGAGACAAACAGACCTGGCAATCCAGCCCCAAGCCCAAGCAACTCCGTACTGACTACTACACGTCCATACAACCACGTTGCCGGAGATGCGCCCGCATCACTCAATCGCGAGAGTCTTGTGCTTGTAGTCGGGGTTCGTGCCCTTGTACCGATCGAACAGCTGCAGCAGCGCCTCGCAGTACTTTGCGTGCCAGTGGTCGATGTCGGCTTGCGACGGCTCGGCGATGTGTGGGAGGCCGAGAGGCCGGCCGCGGGCGTACGTCAGCCGCACTTCCTTTGGCACCGGCAGCGCGAAGCGGCCCCAGAAGAGCGTCACTGAGACGCCGAGCTTGCGCGACAAGTCGGCGAGCGGGCCCCAGGTGAGCGCCTTGAGGACGGTCGTGTTTCCGAAGAGGTACACCGGCACGACATCTGCGCCCGACTTGAGCGCCAGCTTGATGAAGCCCTTCCTCCCCTGGGCTGGGGAGGGGGTTGGGGTCAGGGTAGGGGTTGCGACCAGGGAAGGAGTAGAGGAGGAGTGGGTGCATGTGCATGTGCATGTGCATGTGCATGTGCATGTGCATGTGCATGTTGCATGTTGCATGTTGCATGTGCATGTGCGTGTTAGGATCAGCAAGGGGGGCACCTGCAGGAAGACGGTCTCGCGCCTCGGACTGCTGCGGAAGAGCTCCGCCATCCCGCCAATGTACAGGACGAAGGAGCCTTTCTGCAGGCGGCGAGCAAGCGTCTTGCCGTCGGCGGGGATGACGCCGAAGACGCCGAGCACATCCTTCAGGAGAGGAAACACCTTGAGCACCGACGCGGCAGCCGTGGGCACGTGCTGGGCGAGCCTCGGCCCGAACCCTCCCTCGGCGTCGTTCATGCTTGCGATGGCGGCGCAGACGCCAACAAAGGAGAACACGCCGTGCGGGTGGGCGCCGACGACGTAGCTCTTTCCGGTGGCGCGCAGCTCACGATCGGTCGCTTCGTGGAACTCCTCGTAGCGGAAGTACTTTGGAATCTGCCGCACCGGCCACGAGCAGAGCACGATCGGGCTGATGCTACCGCCCGTGTCGGGCAGCAGCGCAGAGACGAGCAGCGGAGCCCATAGCAGCAGCGTGGATAGAGAGGTGAGCCCGCTCGCAAAGACAGACACGAGAGCCGCAAGCAGCCAAACTGGCGCGACCACGTACACAAGCGAGAAGACGGACGCGGCGAGGAAGCCGGCGGCGCGCTCGGCGCTCGTGCTAACGGGAAAGGAGCGGGTGGGCTGGTCGAGGGCCTTGCTGCTCATAATCGGGGCCAGCGACAAGGGGCTGAGAGGGCCAGTCCGTGCGATGCGACTGTCCTCTCCTCCGGATCCTCCTCCGATGTGCGAAAACAAAGAAAAAGAAGGTCTTCGCCCCGGCCCTGGATGTGCGGTTGCGGACTCAAAAGACACCGCCACATTCCTGAGACGAGCGAGGGCAGCCTCCTTAAAGGCGAAAGGGTCTAGATTTGGAGCGCTCGCCGAAGAGGAGTACGACAAAATAGCGCCCGTGATTGCCTGCACGCTACCCGCACTCACGGACTCCATACCCGAAAGAAAGAGAAGGGAGCTCGCGGGAGAGGTGACGAGTGAACTACAGGTAGTGGGGAAGGCAGCCTCGATTGCCATACAGACATGGGTGCGAAACAACGACAAGACCAAGGCACGGGCAGAGGAACGAGAGAAGAATATAGGGTGGATAAAGCGCCTGTTCACGGCATGGAGGGTGAGCCACACCGAACGTACCGAGCGAAGAGCCGAACGGAAGGAGGACGGGGAAGATGACTCCGAGGAGGACGAACCAGTGGAAATTCAGTTGTCAGATGTCACGATGCATCCGAAGGGGACCCCAGCGCCGGCATCATCCGTAGAGGCACGAGTGTTCGAAGAGAGAGTGGACCTGAGCAACAACATGACCTGGAGGCAAATGATCGGAGTGGGAGTCAGAAATGTGGTCCTTGCGCGAGGGGAGCTCGATAGACTCGAGGGGCCAGGATATGCAGCAAGGAGGGCGGAGCTGCGCCGAAAGGCGAAAGAAGCCGCGAGAACAAGGGAACGGCAGGCGGCGGCGGCGCAGGACGAGGCAGAAGAGAATGACGCGACAGAGGAGGAAGTGACAAGGGAGAGAACGACGAGAGTGGGACGGCCGCGAGGTGGCATGAAGGTTGCAGCGAGAATCGGCGAGAGACTGCGAAAAGAGATAGGAAGAGGCAGACTCCCTAGGGTGGGCGACGGCTAGCGCATCACACTCCTCTCCTTAAAATCCCTGTGTGGTGGCGGCGTGCCGTCCTCCCATCCCTCCCTTGGGTTGTCTGTTTTCTTTCTTTCTTTCTTTCTTTTATGTGCGGTTGCTGACTACACTCCAAGTGCTCCAAGTGCAACCGCCGCAACCGGCGTGGCGCGGGGCGGTTGAGCATCCCTCCGGGGGCCCCTCTGCGCCGGGGAGGCGTTGTTGGAGGCTAGGACGCAAGCGTCCGTCGCCTTTTTCAAACTCGGGTCCCACTCCGCTACGGCCTACGCTCCGACCCGAATTTGGAGGGCCTGAAAAGTTTAAGGTGTTGCTCTGACCTTGGGACGGACGGAAAAACACCCCCCTCATATGCCTGACCCTGGGCATGGCCTCTCTGGGGGTGAGCTGGGTCGGCCACCTCCGGGGCTGCAACTCGCACGGTGGGTCCGCTTCCAGGCGAGCATCCGAGGCCTGCGGTTGCCCCTACGCTGGGCGCGACTGCCATGGAGATCCGCTGCACACTGATCAATGTTTTTGGCGACTATTGCTCGCTCTCTGTGCAATCGCAACGCCAGAGGCCGTGCTTGGAGAATGGGTCGCGATGCTGCTGCGCCAGTGGATTGAGCCGCTCCGCGAGCTCCATCGCATCGGTGAGCTGCGGTGGCGCGCCGGCCGCTCCATGCATAGCTCTCCGGCGAGCTGCAGCAAACGCGTTTTCCGTCCGCCCGTTTCATCGAGTTTGCCCGAGTGGTATAAGAAGCGGCCCCCGCGAGCGTGGAATAGGACCGCCGCAAGCGGCGTGGCGTGGAGCGGTTGAGCATCCCTCCGGGGGCCCCTCTGCGCCGGGGAGGCGTTGTTGGCGGCTAGGACGCAAGCCCGTCCGTCGCCGTTTTCAAACTCGGGGCCCACTCCGCTAGTGGTCAGTGGGGGAAAAAACCAAAGCGAAAAGGGGGCCCCAAGAGCTGAAGGTCAACATCCCCTCCGGCTACGACAATGCGAACCTGATCTGGTCCTCACGGGGTTGACCCGTCTCCTCCAGATCGAGACGGACTTCATGGACGGCCGAGCAATATTTCTTCAGTACTATTATTAATTGATGTTTTTTGCACGGCTGAGCCCCCTCCCCTCTTGCACAACAGGAATTTTGACAATTAACCAGATGCCGACAATCGATGGGCTTGCCCATCCCGGAGTGGTTCGATCCCACGCAAACCCGAGACGGTGACGGGATGCTGTCGTGTGGTGATCTCAGGCCCAGTGAGGTAGTGCGCCTGACTATCCCGGATCCTGCTGACCAAGCTCCTCTTGTAGCTCGATCGGTCACACCGCCATCGCCGTCGGGGAGAGGGGGGACGACACTGCTTTGGCAGCGTGCACCTCGATCCTGTACCGTGTTCGTTATGACCCCCCCCAATGAACACACCAGTGAGGGAGGGCGAGACGATCGAGGGGTCCCGTACCATGCGGAATCGACCCTATCCAGTGCTCAAGTGCTCAAGGTGTTGCTGCGCAAAAAAAGGGGCGGGGCGCGAGCGCGCGGGGCGGGCGGCGAGAGCTCTTTTTGGAGATCAGACCTTTCGATGGTTCATGCTTTCTATCATGCTTCATGACACGACACGCGCGACGCGGTGGTGGGAGCTGGTCCTGGTGGAGCTGTCAGCTGATCGATCCAAGCGGGTGGGGAGTGGGGGGCATGGCTGGGCATGCAGGTCCGCCAGTCGGCCCGGCCTCTGACGTGGTGCTGCCGCTGCATTCGCTGAAGAAGAGAGGTGCGACGGCTTGATTTGGAGGCACTGGAGGGCGAGGGTGGGGAAGGGAAGGTTGGGCCGGGCCGTGAGGGGCTGATGGCGCTGGCCAGCGCGGGGTGTGAGATGCCGTCGTCGTCGTATACTGCTGGCCCTCGCCCTCAGTTGCCAGGGCTGTGGGCTGCAGAATTGGCGTCTGTGGCGTCTACAGGCTCTGCAGCGTGATGGCTGGCGGGACTGCGAGGCCGGCGGCAGCGGAAGGAGAGGCTGGGCACGAGCCAGGAACAGGCTGGCCAGGTCCGCAGGTGGCTGCGCTCGGGCGAGGCGCGCGCGCGCATGGCAGGCCGAGCAGGCTCCGGCATATATGGTGAACCCGCGATGTCGCGATGCCGGGTCCCGCTTTCCGCGATCATTTCGTCCGTCCAATCGAAGGAAGCCCATGTTGTGGAGTTAGCCAAACTTGCCCCGACGTTCTGAGCAGGCGCATATCGCTTCCAGGGAGGGGGGCGCCCCCCCCCCCCCCCTAGCATGTGGTGAAGCCTCTGGGTCGAGGGACCCCCCCCCCCCTAGCATGCCAGATCTCGCCCCACGCCCCGACCAGACCGGGCAGTGCGTGCAGGAATGATGTAGGCATGATGGGCGGGTGTGGTGAGCACGCCACAGCGGCACCGCTGCGCACTCTCAGGGTCGCAGAGCCGCCTATCTCGTGAGGGGCGTGGGTCGGGGCGGGTGCGAGAGAGTCGAGGAGGGCGGCGCGTGCGCGCGCGCGCGCGCGCGCGCGCGTGGTAAAGTCGGTTTATATTTCATCACTGGTATAAAAGAGACCCAAAACGGCACGCGCGCTCGTATCACCTCAACACTCAGACAGAAAATCAAAGATGCGGGCAGCCTCGCGCCTTCGGGTTTCTTCGATCAAAAGAGGGACGTCTGCGAATCTCCCCACGGCTCATACAACAACGTGTGAGTGAGTGAGTATTCTTGATACGAAACCACGACGACACACACACCAGTCGACTCGCATCGGTTGCCTCCATTAACGGCGGAGCTATTCTCGCGCCCACACCACACCTGGCTCCAACGTGGACACGCCCATAGCTGGGGACACTACTAGATCACGCATGGCATCAGAAGTTTTATCTCTGGGCCCCGAAAGGCATCTCTAGCAGCGTCGTTACGCATGCTCCCTCCCCTCCTGGGCGCATGCGCCTCACATCTCGCCAGAGCATAAGCTCTTGGTGTGCGACGAGACGAGTTTTTCGCAATCGCAGCGAGCAGCAAGCCACTCGCCGCAGCAGCCGGAGGCATCGCCGCAACGCTGGCTGCGCCGCGGTCCCGCACCCGTCGACGAAGCTCCCCCCGCGGAAGACCGCGCGTAGCGACACCTTGACGATCGAGATGAGCGCGCTCGAGGCTCGCCCACCTACTGCCCCTGAGAGTTGGTTACTGAGTGGGATCAGCTCCCCCCCCCTTGGGTTCGAAGCCGCCACAGCCTCCACACCCAACATCACAGGCGGGATCAGAAGGAGACTCCGCACCGGACACCGCCCGGGCACAGACCCCCTACCCGTCGGATCGCACAGGGCCCCCTCGGAGCAGCCCACACACAATCACGCATCGGCAGAATTAGTGCCTGAGTCAGGCAGACAGCACAGACAAGGAGAGGAGAGAGAGAGAGAGAGGAGAGAGAGAGAGAGGAGAGAGGAGAGGGTGAGGGAGTGTGCACACGTGAGGAGCAGGTAGGGTGTCTGTTGTGGGCTGTAGTCATACTACGTGGTTAAAACCACGCGCCCCTCAGGAGCTAAGGTAGAGTGGAGCGTCCCAGACGCCTCGGTGCCACCCACCGGGTGAGACCAACATACACACACACACAGTCAGACAACAACAAGCAACAGAAGCACTTTTGGCAGTTTGTTCCAGTCCGCGCCAGTCCGCGCCTTTGTCGTGCCAGTGTGCTGTATGTATGTAGGAAGGTGAAGAACAGTCAGGCTCGGACTGGACACCGACGCGGTATGGGTGGACGCTGGACAGATGATGACGACACGCACGAGCGACACACAGACACAAACAAGCTCACAAGACACACAGCCAGCGGGCTGCCACACATCCTGAGTGGGCGTACACATCACTCAGGCCACGTCCCCCCTGTCGCCCCCCCCAGCACCCAAGGTGCCAAGAGACAAACAACAGCACAACAACACAGACAGGCGACAGGGGCGAACGTGTGAGACTAGAGCAGGCTTGCTCCGCCTCTAGCAATTTCGTCGCCGGCCGCAAGGCACGGACGAGACCGG